ACTGCATGCCGCCATCCTAGAGCATTGAGGAAAGCATCAGTGATTTTGGGGTGAGTTCTAGGGGCCGCACTTCAAAAACAGGATAGTCATCGTACCAGTAGTACCGCACAAGGCGGTGGCGGAAGTTTCAAAAATAGGAAACCTATAGGAGAGATTGGTTGTTGTGAATCAGGGATGGCAGAGCGAATCCACTGATGGACCGAAAGGTGCTTGAGGTCTCCTCTCTTTCTCTCTCTTTCTCTGACTATCTATCTACCCACCTACCAACCTATCTTCTATGTGTCTTCTTACTCTTTCTCTTCTAATCTTCCTCTTCTCTCTGCCTCTGCCCTGCTCTGCTTTTCATCTCTCCATATTGTCGGAAGTTTGACTTGTAAACTTCCTTCGATCATTTGTCTGAGGCTGAAAGGCGTTGTTGAGAGATGGCAGTTGATGGGAGAAAACTTTCCTATGACGGGGATTAATGACCTATCTTGATGAACTAATTCGTTTGAGGGTTTGTGAATCTAGGGATTTGCAAACTTGAAATCAAACATTTTGGACGTCACTTATTTCGTGACTTTTGTCCAGAGAAACTTTGGAAACATGCAGGTTTTTTTACCTCTGGAAGTGTTTGAGCCTGAAATGGAGTTTCCGCTATCGATTTTCACTCTCAAGGAGTGCGAGTCAAACAGTCTAACAGAGAGTTCTTAGCACAGCTGCACATTGAGAGACACGTCTTGTTTTGTGTTGTGGTCGCGCAAAAAGGGACTTGAAACTGTCGGAGCCGTGGGTGTTGGTTCTTGGGATTTGTCTTTGGGTTTTGGGCTCCTGCATCCTGTGGAACCGTCAGATATGATGTGTATGGTAAATTGCCTTCCCTTGCGTTGCTACGTGGGTTTTCAGGCTTTGAGTTTTAAAAGGGCTTGTAGATACGGCAAATAACACAAAACCATATAAACACAAACCGGACACCCGTGAGGGTTAGTTCGATATGCGTACAGTCTCGCCTTAGCCCAGCTCGCCTGAGGGGGGGTGTAAAAACCCGTGCAGTAAAACCCTATGTTCCATATACATCATGTCGACTGTGTTTTAGCGTTGGTTCAAAAGTGCCAGCAGCTTAGCGGTTTAGCTAATCTTTTACCCCATAGTTGGCTGACCTGGGTAAATACACTAAAGAAACCCTCAATGAAACCTAAAGAAACCCTAACTGAAACCCTAAAGAAACCTCAAAAGAAACCCTCAAGAAACCCTAAACACTGAAACCCTAAAGAGACCCAATTGAAACCCTAAACCTTCAAGAGCCCTAGAAGAAACCTAAAAAAACTTTGACACCACGGAAAGATCATTGAAAACGACCAAGAAAACGGTGAAAACCATCCAGACATCGTTGAAAACCATTGGAAAATGGGTGAAAACTAAAATGTTGCAATTATCGTGCAAATTTACGATTTTAGCTGCCCAAATTTGCGACTTCAGCTCCGAAATGCTGCAAATAGCATGCAAAATAAGAAATTTTAGTTCAAAAACGCAGCAAATAGCACCCAAATCACAGAGATTTAAGCTCCAAAATGCAGCAAATAGCACGCAAATCAGAGATTTTCGGTTCCAAAATGCAGCAAATAACACGCAAATCAGAGATTTTAACCCCAAAATGTAGCAAATAGCAAGGAAAATTGCCACAGACTGAAAAACAAAAAAAAATAAAAAAACAAAAACAAATCCAAAAAAAAATCATCACCCATTTCTACCACCCCTTTTCTCTTGGACAACTTAGGAGTGACATGGAGTAATAGTATATATGATTGTGTGGCTTGGAAATTACAAATTCAGAGTGTTGCATTGATGATACGGGCGGAGTGACAAGTTTATGATGGAACACATATAAAGGATCAATATACAATTCATGCTGGTATTTAAGGGGTGTCCTGTCTATGACCCCATTCCCCTGGTCATGGGACAAGACAGTACTGCCATCATCCGCAATATAAAAACCCATGGAAATGTGTTTTGTTTCGAATGACATGGACCTGATCTCAGTCGTACAATGTCGCCATGAAAAAGTACAGACTAGATGGTTTGCAGAGACGCTTTACTCCTGCAAGGTGTCTAGTATGGCATCGATACGATATCGGAAGAAACCAGGGTTTGCAAATATACAGAACGCAAGAACAAAAACACCGTGGACAAACCAAATGCTGCAGCCTGTAGGAATTGCAACTATGACTGGAATCGCTGGGATGGCTGAGACAGAGATCCACGTCCAGCCAGGGTGGCACACTTGTGCTGGTTTGTAGGACGAAAAGTAGCCATGACCTCTGCATTTGGCCCCAGCTTTGGCGCCAAATCACCGTCCAACTAAAAGAACCAAGTCAAATCCCAGGATGACAAGAGAAAAACATGGTTTGTCTATCTCGGGGTCCTCCATTTGATAAGGAACTTGTTGGTTTTGTGTATCCCGGGTTTCCAATTTTATGAGGAAATACGGGTGACATCGTGATATAATCTGGGCTACCGGTGGAATTTGCAGGATGCCATGGCGATGTTGAGGCTCTTTTGATGTTGAGATGGTGTCGGAAACAGGGAACTTCAACTGACCAACAGTTTCCAACTGTCACAAGGATAAACTGTCTAATTACATATATATATATATAATATAAACACTGCATTCGTTTCAACTTGTTTCATCTAGAAATCTTGACTTCAGCATAGCAGTTTGGAGTCATCAAACACAAATAACTAGGCGATGGACACTGAACCTCGCTATTGAGACCCCACCTCATGCAAGCGCAATGTTGCAATGACATGTGGGGCAACAGATTCAGCATGTATCATTAGTCGTTGTGGTAGAGTGTGGCTCATGCTATCCACTGCTATTCGTGGTGTTTTTGCTGTGTTTGGGGATTGGTCAAAACACCTATAGAGTTTGAATTGCTCTTGCAAAAACGAACCGCGCAATGATCAAGAGATATTTCCGACAAGGTTGACCGACCAGATTCTCATAGATCTATGCGAGAATAAGGTAAAGGCACTTGCCGCGTCGGCTACAGAAAATCATGCGTCAACACTCAAGGCAAAGACTTTAGCTTCAAGTTCCGCAGAATGTCGATGACAGTACGCCTGGCATGTTTCATGGCCAACCTCGAGCTTGACTCACTGTCCTTCAAGGGTATGGGCTGCCATTTGGAGAAAGTGAGTACCAAATTTATTTATGCTGAGTGTTTTCAAATTGTACCGCTAGGTTTACAATTCATTTTTTCATATTCTTTCCTCAAATAGTTTCAGCTATATAACATATATATATATAGATACATACATACATACGTACGTACGTACGTACGTACGTATGTTTGTTGATTTGCATGCATGAAAGGCATATGTTTCACCCCTTCTCAATTTTTGCCAACGTAGTGCGCGACAAATCTTGAATTCTTGGACTTCGGCAGCGATGAACGGCGTGCGCGGTACAGACCTGCTCAACTCATCTGTGCCGTCTAACATTCTTCGTTGTATCGAAGATCTATTCCGTTTTTTCATTTCAAGTGGATCCAAGTGGAAACATCCCCCATTTGGGGTCAGTACAGAACAGTACAGCGGCAAACATAGATCACGAACATGTGTTTCTATTCAAAGAAAGGGATTCCACTTTAAAGCATGACGTTTTAAAACAGTTTTTTGAGGTTTTGTTTCAGCCATGTTCCATCATTGCACCCCGAAGTCGCCCACAGGTCGACCATGTTTCATCCTGACCGCACTGTGATGAAGCCGTGAACCTGGCGATTTGCCCGGAATCTCGGAAAAGAACCAGCTCCTGTGAAAGAAATCTCCGGTTTCCCTCCAAAAGTGGTGGGTTTCACCTGGCGAGTCGAACTTTGATATCTTCGAATCAATGTTGATTCCATTGAGATACAAACCGTTGCTGAGTGTCTTTTGGAGACTTTGTCGAGTCTTTTGAGGTATAAAAATTCGAAGCTGGTGCGGACTGGAGCTGGAACTGAGGATAAACCATGCTTCATGTTGAACGTGGTTGAGCTAACAACATACCCCGAATTGGAAGGTTGACAATCAACATGACCAATCCTACTCCCAGTCCAAATTGAGTTTGTAGCCAAGTCAATCAGCAGACCAATGGATCACCAAGCAGTGACAAAATAGCTGGTAGTTACTTTTTTCATTGCTCCTCTCCGAAATTTGAACCATATCCTGGAAGGACCTTTTCCGTTTGCACTGGGTTGTATGGTGTTTTTTGTTCTCACTGATTGGAGCTGGCTGTATAGCGGGTCTCCGCACTTCTAAGTTACTTGATTAACCCACCAAATATGGTCCTCATCCAACTTTGCCCAGTAAACCAAACTTCCCAGGCCGAGGCCCACGTGTGTCTCAACTCCCCGTGGTCCCAAGCGTGGCAGGGTCACTGGTTGGGACGCCAAAGAGTTGGGAACACATCATGAGTTGGTGCTGCGGTGTGGGTTTGGTTTGAACATTGGCTCAGAAATCCACTGGTTTGTCGTTGAATCATGTTTCAGACAGAGCCCTGTGGGACCCCATGTGGTGGTTTCTCAAAACTGTGGATCTCAAAATCATGTTTTTCGCTCCTAAAAGAGACCAGTTTTGGATGATTTTTGGGTAGCCCATTTTCAGACGAACCCAACAAAATGCCACACGTACCGCTTGTTTAGGACATTGGTTTCTATAAATAGGGCTACCCCAGAAGTCATACATGTGTAGATGGTATTTATCATGATAAGCCATTTGGAAATTGCGGGTCCCCTACAGCATAAAACATCCATGTCTTCACAGCCGGGTCTGCGCCAGGTCGTCCCCAGCCGGCTCTATTGGTCCATGGCACTGCCTCGATGCAGGTGCCAGTGGGCCCTTGGTTCGTCGCATGGAGAGAGTGCCACCTTGGTGCTTTTGACAGGCCAAGGTGCCACTTCCGCTGCACACTTTTTTTTCTGCCCAAGAGATACGGTGATACGGTAGGCTAGGATCGTAGGATCCGTCAAGTAGTGTGAGAAGCAATGCAGCTTCTTAGCATTGTTCTTCGCGTTATACTCCCAGATGGTCAGCATAAGGACTTCTTGTCGGTCGGTTGAGGGAGCTGTTTCCAAGACTGGCTGGGTTTCGGGCCTGGATGCGCGACCAAATCTCCTGGTTCAGTTTCCTCAGTTTCCTGAGTTTCCGAAAAAATATCCACAGTTTCCAAGAAGAACCATAGAATTTGTGGATTTTACTACCATGGATATCCATGATTATCCATGGAGGTTTGGATAAATTGATAATACTGTAATCATTCCGAATCATTCCGAATCAATTTCCTTTGGTGTTTTTGGAAAGCCCCATGCCTTGCTTGCGAAGTATGTCCGTGCAGAGTTGCCAAATTGTGACGATTTCGATGCAGAGAATCAGTGGCCAGCAATCGAGGAAAAGCTGGCGAAAGTGAGACGTGAGCACAACTTGCAGAACTACACCTTCAAATATACAGTCTCAGATCCGAGTCAGGGCCCACAGGAGCTGTGGAGCTTGAGAGATGAGCACAACCTGGAGGACTTGATCGCGACCTACTTGGAGAATCAAGCGCAGGCATCATCTTTGATTGTGCCGTTGATTCTGGCAGCTCCAGAAAAGCGATGTCTTGAGGAGGCCTTGCCTCGACACGTCTGGACACCTCCAACGAGCATCGACGAGGACGCTCCTGCGAGGTTCGTCAGTGACAAGACCTTCATCAATGTTCAGCATTTGCACAAGCTGCGTGCAATTCAAACAGAGCCTGTAGCTGACAACTCTGACATGGGCCCGAAGCTGTGCCTGACGCTGGCTGACCTAGCTGACCCGGAGCTGGTGTAGGGATGTTGAAAGGTTTCTACCTGGTGATCGCTGCCGTTGGGGATAGAGCGACAAGAACTTGTGCGGACTTGTCCGGCAAAAGCCCGGCGAAAAAGACACAGCTTAGGTGCCCAGATGGATATGGGTGGCCTTTTGCTTTTGCTGGCTCGGCATGGAGTGCGAGTCACATCGTCCGGGCACTCCTTCTTTTTGTTGTCCCTTTCTAGAGACACGAGGATTGACTCCCGCACTGTTTGGGTCATGTTTCTGGTGAATATCACTCTGGCCCATAAGAAATGATCTGGAATCGGGGTTGCGAATTCTGACCTTTACATGAGTTGCAGTCCCAGGTTGACAGGATACCCAGCTTTACCATCTTCAACACTTCAGAGATTTCCAAAAACATGGGGGGGTCCCCACCAACAGCCAGGCTCTCCAACTTGATCGAGGCCAGTGCCAGTGCGTCTCTCTGCCTGGTGCTTGAAAGTTAACGCTGGGCTCATAGAAACTGGTGCAACGGGGATCATATATACATGTATACATATGCATGTAATATTATACAATCTAACAATTTGGCTCGATCAGATACAGAATTTGTTTACCCATGTTGCGGTCACACGTTGCCTCTGCATGTTTTTATTTCGACAGAGAGATGTTGAAAGTCGGATGTGGTGTCTTTCGAAGATTGAATGAATCTTGACAATTAACTCATAGGCCAGAGGGTCACTTGAGCATTCAACACATCTGCCGGTTTGCTCCATCAGTTTTTGCTTGCGCCTTATCGACTATTTGAATTGGACACACTACAACTCCCTACACATTTCAGCGTCACAGTGTGCTTTGAAATTGCTAAGCCTATATCCAAATTTGCCGATTGTTTTGGAGGACCGCTTCCATTCGTAGACATTTTGGCTGCTGCAAACTCCCCACGTGACCAACTGTGTGGCCATGCCAGTGTTGGGCGCGGCGAAGCTGAAGGCCTTCCTCGCGAGGGCAGAGGCAAAACCCAAGCCGTGGCAGGAGGAGGCGCTGATCAAAACGGCAGCTTTGAAGCACCCAGTGATCTAGATGGACCATTTTGAATGGAAAATATGGAAAGAAACGCAGGGGAAAAATGGAAGAAACATGAAGAAACCATGGAACGCATAAAACTTGAACGTTCAATCTTCAATTATAGTCTGGGGATGGTTCAAACAAATCACCCAGAATGGGATGTTGAATGTCTTGAATAGCAACGAGGTTGCAAGGTTCATTGGCGCCCCAATTTTGATGTAAACTCTGTGTGGATCGCGGGGCCAAGCCAGGGTGATTGCCTTTTTGCTGGTCACAGTTGCAGCCATAAGGATTCGCAGTGGGATGGGAGACGTGTCTTCTTATACGACCATGCACGTGGCAGCGGCAAGACACGACTCATGGCGATGATGGCCTTGATGTGGATGAAGCAGAAGGGGATCCGCTGCGTGTTGGTTGTGGTGGACAGGTGTGACCTAGCCACCCAGGCCAAACAGGAGTTCGCCGACTTCTTCGCCAAGTGCTACAAGATCCCGGTGGCCAAGCAGAAGACCGAGCAGGTGCCAGAAGTTCTGCAGGTGAGCGCGGCTTCGGAGCTTCAACAGCACTTTGACAAGTTGACGGAAGACTCCCTGGCTCGGTGTGTACTGGTTGTGACCCTGCAGAGCTTCCCACACTTGCAGACGACTTTGCCACCAGCGCTGCAGGAGACTACCGGAGAAAGCCTTAAAAAAAAAGTATCAAATATGTATCTCATGCCTCGATGCACTCCCTTCTCAACAGATGCACCATCAAACTCTCACCCGGACATGTTGGATTACCATTTATGTAACAAATGACTCTGAAGTATCCCTGCCACGATTTGTTGATATGATATGTTTATTGCTGCCGCTGAATCCCCGACTCTTGAAAGTTGCATCCCACACATTCCCATCAAGTCAGACCATCGAGCAATCTTCCACCCCTGCGACAGGAGAAAACTTTGGTTGTGGCTGATGAGGTCCATCGCTCCCACGCGGACCGCGCCTTTTCGGAAGAGCTCCAGAAGGCCATCGGTGCGGTGCCGCGGCTGCTTCTGTTCACGGGGACAGCCTCGGACCGACGCCTGCGGCTCTTTGGGGTGAGAGAGGGAGACTTCTTCGTCCCATTCCATGCAGTTTCCGAGGAAGAAGTGGCTGGACCATAGTGTTTTCTTTTGACGGTGGTTTGTTTGGATGATGTTGTGACAATCTTTTGCTGCCATGCTCCATGAGTTGTTCAGTTGCAAATGTAGTGACGCCATTGATAGGCATTCTCAGTGATCACCTTGGCACCGTGCCTCGCAGTTTGCAAGTGAGGTGGCCAAAAGGGGCATGATTTTCCAGCTGTCGCACTACAAGCGCGAGTTCAAGCAGATCGTGTGCGACACCACGAACCTGGAGAAAGTCGCTCGCGAGCAGCAACTCGAGCCCCGGCTGTTGCAATCCATGAAGGCTTTGAGCAATGGCACGCCGGCGGCCATCCGATTGAAAGCTGCGGTTCTTTGGAAGGAATTCCAGGAGTTTGGTGAATTGGTTTGTGTTATGTGTAGCATCATGCTGCAAGATGCTGATGCTTGAGCTGGAAAGATTTGAAACTGTTTCTTTCTACCACGCCAGGACACCAGAAGCTCTCTTTCATACCGACCTCAGATGGTGGTGGTGGCGGAATCAAGGGACATGGTGTTGTCCTACGCAGAAGCGTTTAAGAGTCTGGCCGCGCAGCATGAACCTGGAAAGGTCGCAGTTTATGGGGCGTTCTCAGGAAAACTGCAGCATGGTGACAGATCAGTGGATGAGGCCGCGTACAATTTGCCCTTGCAAGGGATGTTGAACACCCAGGACTTGCACAAGAAGAGCGATATCTTAGTGATATGTGACCGGTTCGAAACTGGCTACGACAACACTGCAGTGACGTTGTTGGGCATTGACCGAAGGATGTTCGGTGGCGAAATTTGTTTGGGGTCGAAATGAGGCGTGCCCCAAAAGGCAGCCCTTTGGATGGCTTGTGTGGGTTGAGGTTTAGTTTTGTGTGACATCCCGTTGTTTTTCAAGATGTTTCCGCCCTTTTTGAACAAAACCGCGCCCAAGTAGCTGCAAGGGTCGTGGGGCTGTTGAGTTTTTCGTTTGGGAAAGCCACTTAAGCTGCAGGATGAGTTCCGACGAGAAGTTGGTCCAAGTCTACAGCCGAGCAAACCGCCGCCGCTATGGCAAGACTTTTCCAAAGGCTGGGAAATGGTTGATGGTCGGTTCTAATAAAGCCATTTTGAAGGTATACCGCACTTTCACGCACATGCACGTGTTGCTCCAATTTTTCAATATGCGGGGTTGCTGACGTCAGGGTTCCAAAATGGAATACGGGACGTTTTGACCTTACTTGTCGCAGGTCTTTGTTGATTTTCATGACATAGCTGCCGCAATCATGTGGTGCATCACACATGTTTGTCTTCAAGTCAGCGCGGGGTCACAAATCGAACGTTGTCAAACACTCCAAGAAGCGATGGGATTGTATTCGGCCTGTTCATTCACCCAGTTTATATTAATCATTGTATATATATATATTATAAATGGGCTAACGCCCTGGTGCCGCCGACCCCCCATTAAGGGGGGGCAAGGCAGGGGTCGGCGGAGATTCACACACACATAGAGAGAGAGATATATATATATATATATACTTGGACCTTCCAGTTCCTTCAAAGATGTGGGATTTCTGGAATTTGCAGGTTTTGAAGGGGAAAACCCGCTGTTTGGTTTTGAGGCTTTCAAGGCCTGCCCAAAACGTGCCACATACCAGTTTCAAAGCTGAAGAGAAACAGCTTGTGAGGCCTAGGGAGGTACCATGGCCAAGCAAGCGGCACGCCTTCGAAAGCTGCTGCGGAAGGTTGTGAGGTTCTAAGGCCTTCGAAAGCTGCTGCGGAAGTTTTGAAGCTTTTAAGGCCTGCCCAAAACGCGCCACATAGCAGTTTCGAAGCCCAATAGAAACAGCTTGTGGGGCCTAGGGAGGTACCACGGCCAAGCAAGCGGGACGCCTTCGAAAGCTGCTGCGGAGGGGTGTGAAGTTCTAAGGCCTTCGAAAGCTGCTGCGGAGGTTTTGCAGCTTTTGAGGCCTGCCCAAAACGTGCCACATAGCAGTTTCGAAGCCCAATAGAAACAGCTTGTGGGGCCTAGGGAGGTACCATGGCCAAGCAAGCGGTACGCCTTCGAAAGCCGCTGCGGAGGGTTGTGAGGTTCCAAGGCCTTCGAAAGCTGCTGCGGAGGTTTTGAGGCTTTTAAGGCCTGCCCAAAACGTGCCACATAGCAGTTTCGAAGCCCAATAGAAACAGCTTGTGGGGCCTAGGGAGGTACCATGGCCAAGCAAGCGGCACGCCTTCGAAAGCTGCTGCGGAGGGTTGTGACGTTCCAAGGCCTTCGAAAGCTGCTGCGGAGGTTTTGAGGCTTTTGAGGCCTGGCCAAAACGTGCCACATAGCAGTTTCGAAGCCCAATAGAAACAGCTTGTGGGGCCTAGGCAAATACCATGGCCAAGCAAGCGGCACGCCTTCGAAAGCTGCTTCGGAGGGCTGTGAGGTTATAAGGCCTTCGAAAGCTGCTGCGGAGGTTTTGAGGCTTTTGAGGCCTGCCCAAAACGTGCCACATAGCAGTTTCGAAGCCCAATAGAAACAGCTTGTGGGGCCTAGGGAGGTACCATGGCCAAGCAAGCGGCACGCCTTCGAAAGCTGCTGCGGAGGGTTGTGACGTTCCAAGGCCTTCGAAAGCTGCTGCGGAGGTTTTGCAGCTTTTGAGGCCTGCCCAAGACGTGCCACATAGCAGTTTCGCAGCCCAATAGAAACAGCATGGCCAAGCAAGCGGCACGCCTTCGAAAGCTGCTGCGGAGGGCTGTAAGGTTCCAAGGCCTTCGAAAGCTGCTGCGGAGGTTTTGAGGCTTTTAAGGCCTGCCCAAAACGTGCCACAAAGCAATTTCGAAGCCGAATAGAAACAGCTTGTGGAGCCTAGGGAGGTACCATGACCAAGCAAGCGGCACGCCTTCGAAAGGTGCTGCAGAGGGTTGTGAGGTTCTAAGGCCTTCGAAAGCTGCTGCGGAGGTTTTGAGGCTTTTGAGGCCTGCCCAAAGCGTGCCACATAGCAGTTTCGAAGCCCAACAGAAACAGCTTGTCGAGCCTAGGGTGGTACCATGGCCAAGCAAGCGGCACGCCTTCGAAAGCTGCTGCGGGGGGTTGTGAGGTTCCAAGGCCTTCGAAAGCTGCTGCGGAGGTTTTGAGGCTTTTGAGGCCTGGCCAAAACGTGCCACATAGCAGTTTCGAAGCCCAAGAGAAACAGCTTGTGGGGCCTAGGGAGGTACCATGGCCAAGCAAGCGGCACGCCTTCGAAAGCTGCTGCGGAGGGTTGTGAGGTTCCAAGGCCTTCGAAAGCTGCTGCGGAGGTTTCGAGGCTTTTAAGGCCTGCCCAAAACGTGCCACATAGCAGTTTCGCAGCCCAATAGAAACAGCTTGTGGGGCCTAGGGAGGTACCATGGCCAAGCAAGCGGCACGCCTTCGAAAGCTGCTTCGGAGGGCTGTGAGGTTATAAGGCCTTCGAAAGCTGCTGCAGAGGTTTTGAGGCTTTTGAGGCCTGCCCAAAACGTGCCACATAGCAGTTTCGAAGCCCAAGAGAAACAGCTTGTGGGGCCTAGGGAGGTACCATGGCCAAGCAAGCGGCACGCCTTCGAAAGCTGCTGCGTAGGTTTTGAGGCTTTGAAGCCAAAGCCGGCACAAGGCCATGCCGCACACCTACGGTGATCCCGGGCGCCGCCCCGCCTAGGCCAAGGCTAGGCAGGGGTCGGCGGATATATATATATATATATTATATATATATATATTATATGTTTTATAGGCACATGTATATCATTGCAAAATTTCCAACTGAAATTGGTATGGGTCAATATTTTTGGGACATTATGGGACCATCTTTGGTGGGATCAACATCCATAACTACCAGGTGTTGCGGCGTGAAAACCTCAGTGCCTGGTGGATTGACGCATACCCAGGTGATATTTTCGGTATGTCCTCTCGGCATCGTTCTGCAGGTCATCGACTTCAGCAATCGTGCGCAAGATGTGGAGCGGGCCGTGTTGGAGTTCGCCCAGCCACGGCGTGTCAGAGCTAGTCGCTTTGAGGACGTCGTGAGTTTGTCCGCGGAACTGAAGGCTGGGCTGGTTAACCAAAGATCCACGCGGCCGAGCCATAAAATGGTTGATCATCATTGTTTGCAATTCAAATGCAATAAAAGTGCAATTTTGGGGCATCCTCCATTTGCATGTAGAGTGATGTTTGTGTGCATTTTTTTTTCGTACTGGCTGGGTGTAAATGAATAGGGAACAAGTCACAGTCTTTTGAGCTGCGTTGGGGATTGCATTGCGCGCGCACATTGGACATGGCAGCGCACCATGTTGCAGTCGATTCAATGAATGACCATCCCTCAAGAACCCAACACTTGTGTATCGATATCAAATCCAAAAATAGTCTGCAAGGTCTGGATTCGTGACGTTTTGTGAATGATATGTCCCTATTTGGGGGTGCGTTTGATTTTTTTGAGAGCAGGACGCTGTGGAGGTGCACTTTTTTGTCGTTTTTTTCAAAACTGTAATCACATTAAAGCTTAAACTACAGATGAAGCTGTGTTCATGTCCACTAGAGAGGATGTATTGCTTGAGGAAGTGTCCAGGTGTTCACTCTACCTTAGATAAATGCTACTACAGTGTCCCTTCAACAAAACACAATTTCTGATGAATATGCTAGATGACTTCAACATAATTACAACACCCCCATACCTGCCAACAAATGCAGTATTCAAAACAAACATGCCCTTCTGAATAAGAGTAATCTTCCTTTGGGGCAATGCACTGTGTTTTTGCAGGGGCAATATCCAAACAAAATATGAAGTATTCGTTGAAAAGTTGCGCCTTGCCCTTTGAAGGAGTGCAGTGTGCATTTCCAGATGTCTAACCCTTACTTCAAAGGAGCAGTACCCCTTTTAGAAAAGTCAATATTTCTGCATAAGATATGCAGTATTATTGACATAGAGCATCCCTTTCAAAAGTGCAACATGTTTGAAACTGTGAGCACTATTAAAGAATGCTCTTTCGCTTCTTACCACAGAACAACATAATATTGTCCTGCATGGCAAAAAATCTTCCTGTGAAGAAGCAGCATTCTTGGAAAACTGGATTGCTTTTGTTTGACATGTGTACTCTTCCCCTTGGTCAGATCAGCCCAGCCTTCATTTAGACAACTCTCACTTAAAGAAATGTTGTTTTCGTTTAATCAAATATCTCACTCATATTAAGGGGGTGTTGCACAAATTCAACAACAGATTCTTCAAGGACGACCATACTTTTTCAAAAGAGTGCTACATGCATACAGTATACCATATGTTCAAACAATGTTTGATTGTCTTAAGATTTAAAGATGCACATTCTTCAAATTACAATATTTTCAAGAGGAAAACTGCCTACACCAAAGGGTGTTATTCCCAAAATATGGTTCGTTGTCTTGGAAGGACATCACATTATGCATTCAGAAACATGATGTGCAATTGTGAAGGACATATTTTACGTGCTTAGATGTACCATGTGTTCTTCATTTAAGAAATTCATATATTATGAAAAGGGCATTGCATGTGCAAGAGTGTTCATTTTTGACATAGAAGTAGACTAAGACATGACCTACTTCAATGGAATGCTCTACCATTTTAAAAGAAATGCACTTGTTGAAGGGAGCACTCACTTCAAAGAGATGCATCACTCCTTTTCAAGGGAATCTTTCAAAGTGTTTGAACATGTGTTAACTCAAGGATTTGAGGCAACAATGTCAATATCAAAATCAGTTCTACACATTCATTGGCTGCCTATGTTTTTGGATTTGTTCAACACAGTTTTTGAAAAATTACATAAACAGACAAAATTGCCTAATCTGTGTCCCAAGCCCCCAAGCTTTCTCCAGTGATACCTGCATTTTGCCATGTTTCTTTGGCATGGTTTTCTAATGGAACCACAGGCCAAAGCAACCAATTAAATCAACCAAAAACAAGTTTGCAACCCCTAAAGTGGGAGAACTGGCAAAGAGTGAGGTCTAGGTCCGTCACTTTTGTGTTGTTTTGCCAGCCCTTCGAAAAACCAACAACGAACCAGAAAACAAGAAACCAAGAAACCAAAAAACCAAGAAACCAAAAAAACAAAAAACCAAAAAAATGAAAACAAACAAGATTGCACACCCCAAGGGGGGAAAACCAACAACGAACCAGAAAACAAGAAACCAAGAAACCAAAAAACCAAGAAACCAAAAAAACAAAAAACCAAAAAAATGAAAACAAACAAGATTGCACACCCCAAGGGGGGAGTAGTGGCAGAGAGTTGGGTCTTGTCATGTTTTCTTTGTTTTTTTGGATTTTGGTTTTGTTTAGCCATTGCTGAAAAACCAAGCAGAAATTGTCAATTGTTGCAAAGCAGTGAGAGAACCATCGCAGATGTGCAGTATCAGTAGTTGCAGAATGCAGTGAAAAACCGCACTCCCAGGGTGTCCCTTTCTTTTTTTTGGGTATGTTCACATACACACACAGATATCTCTATAATATACGTATACAATATATATATATATATGTATATATATGTATGTATATGTATATAAATGAAATTTTATCAATATGTATACATTCATTATATCCCTGGTTGCAGCCACCCATTTAAGGAATCCCTCTTTTCGGCTCGGCTTCAGCGGTCTCAGGAGGCTCTGCCTGACTTGGCTGTCGATGCCGGCAATGAGGCCATCGAAGCTGCGGTACGTCATGGCTTGGCAGCGGATGCATCGAAACATGGTCCCCACATTGGAAAATTGGGGATGGTTGAACCTTGGGCTTACCACATTACTAAGTGATTATTGTTAGATGTTGGAAAATAATCCATTATTGTTACAACTTCCAAGGAGTAAACTTGTTAAACCTGTTACATGATGTTTTGCAAAGGAGCTATCCCAAAATCATCCATCATCACTGCATGATAGCAAGTTTGACCAGGAGAATCATCTTCCCAACCATTCTGTTGAAATTCTATGGCAGTTTTTGAAATGCGTGCATCTATGAAATTGTTTTTTTCCCCTCGTGATGGAAACTTCCGTTTAGCATTTTGCTTGGAGATTCACCAGGCGCAGAAGGAGAAATCCTTTCTGAGGCAAGAAGGAGTGTCAGAATGAGCAGCAAAACCAGGATCTGGCCAAGAAGGCCAGCAAGGATTGCATATTTGCATATACCCTCTGGTGAACTAACATAGCAATGGAAAATCACCATTTTTCATGGGAAAATCCACTATAAATGGCCATTTTCCATAGCAAACTGTTAGTTCACCAGAGGGTATTTGCATTTGGTGATTTTGGAAAACCGCGTGTTGGATACCAATTTCAAGCTCGGAAAAAATCACTCGGATCATGATGGACATTTTCAATCTGAACATCAATCCTTTCGAAGGAGCATGTGGGTCGGATGTCGAATGCCTATGGAACAATTCTTATAAATACAAATACAATTTTTAGGGGGATAATACCTATAAAAATCTTATAAATACAATTTTTAAAGGGATGAACGTCCCTTTACGACTGCCAGGTCCTGGCATATCTGAAGGGCCGCAAGGATGGCGTGAGCCGTGCAGAGCATGGAGCCTCCCAGCTGATGTCCCTCAGCTTGGCGCAGAAGATTTGGAATGCCATGCGCGAGCAGGGCCTGGTGCAAGCTGATGTGAAGCAGCTGGAGAGAGAGATTGTGGAGGCCTGGAATGGTGATGACAACAGCATTGACACACAGAATGGAAATGGCCATTGTTTGCAATGCACTTCATGCTGCTGTCTTCAAGAAGCAACAAATTCTCAACAGTTAGTTGCCCACCACCAGTTCCACAGTTGGTGGGCCCTCCAAAAATATCCATCCGCCAGGAATACACCCGTCCGAAGGGCATCCGCACAGCTGGGCACTTGGGGTTCTCTGGTTCCTTGGCGTTGCCATTGACCAACTTGGCCACCCCGCTGCAGAACATGGAGCGACGGCTGGCGGTGGAACGCAGTGCAGCGCATGATGGAGGGGCCGACGTGGTGGCCCTGCAGGCTGTGAAGGCGATAGGGGCGATAGGGGTCTGGGTTTTCAATTTTTTGGAGTACCTGATTTTCAGAACGCAGATGGTCAGTGTGTTGGTATGGAATCGTTGAAACCCCAAATTCAAAAATGAGATGATTCGAGTTGGGGAGCGCTGCAATCCCTGTGACAGACTGGTCGGTTTTTTTTTGGCCAACAGTGACTTCAACTCGGGTGGGTCCAGTGAAGTTTTTTCTTTACTTGTCTCCTGGTCTGGGGAGATGTAGGTGTTGCAGGCGATTGTTGGGCTGTTGCTCAGACTTAGATACCGGGCATTTTGAAACATGCCCCATTTCACCATTTCCATCAATTTCCTGGACCCAATGGTGCAGCATTGGTTGCCGCCACAGTCATCCCAGCCGTGGCCGAAAAGCAGGACGGGTTGGCCAACGGCGCAGCTGGAGAAGCCGATGCGGAGGAAGAGGAGGAGCAGCGCGCGCGGACGCTGCGCGAGATGAAAGCGTGCGCGGAGCGCCTGCTGAAGCCGCGCACGGCGGCGACGGCGCGTGTCTTGGATGCGATTCTGCACCTGTGAGGTGATCAAAGCATCGGCTCGATGGCTCGATGGGTCAACACTAAAGTTTAGTAAAGGGGATATCCCATCTTTACTAAAATACTTCAGTTCGTCATCTCTTTGGATCTTTGGCTTTCATTGATCGTCCCGCCGGCAACGCAAGGCTTGCAGAAGAGTTCCTTCGACGCCTTGCATCGCTTGGTTTCCTGGGCTCGAGAGGCGGCAGAGGCCAAGGATCGTGACTTGGCGCAGCAGATGATTGATGCCGGGGTCGAGGAGATCTTTCGAAACAGGCGGGATGTGGGGGATGTGACCGGATGTGGGGGGAGGTAGCCGACCTCCATCCGGGGATGATGGTTGCCAATGTTTTTCAGGGGGTTGAAACCGCAGAAATGTATCTTATATATTCTTATAATATATATATATATATTATATGAGGAATTATTGGGCACATTTTTCGTGAAACCCGCTGCCATTTTGTTATGTCCGGAATACTTGATTTTCACAACACTTGACTACTTATAGCAGGGACATCAATGGAACCAGTAGTTTGAATATTCGAACATGTCCATTCTAGTGGATGGTTGTGGCTTAATTACATAATTGGCTCCAAAAAAAACTTGAATCGATAGCTTCCATTTTTTTGCTTCAAGCGGTTGCTTTCCGTTTGACAAGCAGCTTGGCTGTGTCTGAAAATAGGGTACTTGACCTTCAATCCAGTGGTTGATAATCATTTTCCCCAGCAAAAAACCTGCCGCAAAGTGGGGGTATATAAATTCGCCATTTTCAGCCACACCCAAAGATCATATCAAGTTCATGACAGTAACTATAGAATTAATCTCCCATAGCCCATAACATATCCCCATTCTAGTCGATTTTTTTCCATTATATCCACGTTTTTTCGACTCAAACCACCAATTTCATTTAGACGCACCCGTTGGGGCATCCCTGTTGAGGCTTCACAAACGGGAGCCTTGCGAGCACCAGCATTGCATTGGTGGGTTAGATGCTCTTGTTGTACCTCAGCTATGGCGTGGGGCTTGGGGCGACATTGCCAAGCTTGGTTTGGTAGGATAATTCATGGGGTATTCCTTTCGGATTTCGGGGTTTTACAATGTTTTACAGGGGTTGATAAATACTAAAGACTTTTTTCCCAAGAACATTCAAAGAATAATAAGTTCCAGAAGTTTTGGGTTTTGAGGGGTAGATGGCAGTCCTTCATTTGTTTCTAGTCATTACTCCATGTGCGTATGTGTCAATATTGGCACCCCAAAATGGATGATTCATGTCTGAAAGCCAGAATTTTTGCGCGTATATATGGCAGTGTGTCAAAACCAATAGTACCCCTGTAGTTCACATGAAAATAGCTGGGTTAAAATGGATGTTCATCCCCCTAAAGATGGTATTTTCATAGGTATTGATCCATAGCCATATCACGAATGATGCCATCTATTTGTGGGTTTACTCCATTTTACTCCCCACGACACCCACAGCCATTTGGAAGCACCATCTCCAAGGGCTTGGGCTTCTGCCCTCGTGCCGCGAAGATGTTGAAGGCCTTGCGGAACCTGAACCAGTTGCATCAAGAGGAGAAGACACACATGAAGGCAGGGCTTCAGGTCATTTTAAAAGTGGGGTAAGCGGGGCTTTTTGAGTGGGGCTGTTTGAGTATTCCTTGAGGCATGTCACATATGTCGCAATCTTCCAGTTTTTTTTTGTGTCTCCAAGTTTGACCCAGACTTTGACCAGTTGGAATTTCGATAGTCCCAGGAGTTGACGTGTCTACAGATAGGCCCCAGAGGCACTGCTGGCTGAGGCCCTTCTGGAGCTCTGTGATTTCCTGCTGGAAGAGTGCGATGCGCGGCAGGCTGCAACTTGGATGTCTTGCGTGTAGGTCAGTCAGGTCCAAGCCTGCTCAAAGCACATGGTCTATCAGTCTATCATACCATGCCGTACCAACCAAGATTTTAGATGTATCCAGGGATTAGATATCCCAGTATGTGTTATTCTTCAAGAGCTACCAAGACAGTTGTTTTTTGGTTCTTACTCCTCCTTGCCTCGCTTGCTAT